TTTTCGTCAATGGTGAGACCCAAAGTTGAACTCCCGTGCGCATGAAATGCTGGAGAAAGTTCGACGTTTCGTGACAGAAGGGATACGGGTCTTGTATACAGTGTCTTTCATGAAACCACTAGCTTGGAATGACGCGGAGCGACCTCCAATTTTTGTCTCGATGTCGAGTCCGCTCAGACCACAGGTCTTCGACCTGGTGGGGTAAGGAAGTCCGTGAACCAACCTTCCCAACCATCTCGACGTTGAGGTATGGACTGCTATCTGAGCTGGACGCGCCATCGAACTAGAACAAACTGCTTGGTCGTGCATCACCGAGCTTCGAGCTGTCATTCCCGCAGGCTTGCTTGCTTCTGTTTGATCGCACGGCAGTTCCAGCTCCAGTTCGTCTTGAGGACTTCTTGGAAGTGGCGGGACGACTTCCACGACGCTGTGTTTCGGAGTACCGAGTCGTCGTTTGTTGGAATGCTCTGGAGTATCGCGGCGACTACGCAGCTGGGTTGGAGCGACCTGTCGCGAATCACAGACCAGCGCTGTTCGGTTAGACATAGTGAGGAACTGATTGGACAGCAGGGTCTTGTAGCAACGTGTCCACACGTATAACCTTGTTTCACGCGAGGTCGGCCTTAGCAACAGCGGTCAAACGTTGCAGTTGGCTTCTGTGGCGGCGAGGCTGGCTTCTTCGGCTTCCTTCTGGCTTACTTCGCGAAGCTGGCTTCTTGTGGTAGGAGCTTCAGCAGGCAGCTGGAATTGCTTGGGGTAGCCACAAGCACACTTAGCGACGCTCCTTTTGTTGCATCTTGGTTGTTCTTTCCAGGTGGCGCTTCATGGTCGATCTCAAGTTGGAGTAGATGTGCAACAGTTAATAAAATGCAGTGTGTGTTGCAGCTCGTGTCGTAGAAGTCCTTCTATTGTAGGTCTCACTTCGATTTTTGAGCTTCAAATCAAGTTGTTGTTGTTTGAGCTCCCTCTGGAGCGAAACCCACTTCGCAATAAACGGTGTTGATTGGCGTGGTTTCTCAGCGTGTATTTTCAACGTCCAGATGAAATCCAAGTGTTTGCGCTAGCAACGACTTCTGAATTTGCAAATTACAGCGTGGAGATCGCGCGCGACGTGACATGGTGTCGTTGGAGTGCCCTTCCGTGACGCAATCATTTGGTAGAGTTGGAGTTGGCGAAAAAAAAGAAAAAAGAGCACTTCTCATCTTTGGCGAGATCTAGCTTGCGCGCGCAAATCCAATGACGTGGCACCGTCAGCAACGACGCTCAACAATCGTCATTGCCCTAGCCTCCAACGGCGACCGAAACAACCATGCAGCTGCGAGCCAGAGGAAGAGGAAAATTCTTACTCGCCCAGCTGAAAAACTGAGCAGTCCGCTGACCAAGCACATAAACGAAGTCGAAGCGCGTTCGAAGACTTCTCTCGTAAGGTTTTGGTGAGAGATGTACAGGCGAGCTGGTCTCGCTTGTGTCCGATTTTCACCACCGTCGGAGCTTACCAGGCTGAGATGACTGCGGAAACCCCAATGCACCCTCACATCATAGAGACTTGAGCAGAAGCGAGTGCTTTGAGACCTAGGTTCACAGGTTTGACCACGAGTTAGAGCTCCCACGTTGTCTATCCCATATCAGTGGTGTTGAACGAGGTCAAGCAAGTTGCTGCATTATATGCGCCATCCTTTGAGCGACAGGCTTTCACCTCGTGTTGCGCATGGGAATAACTACCATACATACAGGTGGCCTAAGGCATAGTATTCCGACATCATGGTGCTGAGGGCGATGCTCTGCTGCAGTTTGCTCGCCCAGACTATTGGACAGTCATTGAGGCAAATGACAAAGCCAGTCCATGCTCTTGAAATTGGCAGGATCGGTCCTTGTCTCCTTCACATACAGACCCATAAAGTCTGCATCCACATAGGCATCCATCTGGAAGGAATCCGGGGTAATTGGATTCATTGGTGTGAGGCATTTCTCCTGGGTCTTCACCCAATACTGGCCAATGCGGATCAGAGCGAGCTAATGGCTCCTCTTGGGTTGGAAAGCAAGCCGGGCAGCTTGGCTGACAGCAAAACCTAAATCTGGCCTGGAGTGACCATATAGGTACCATAATATGCCGATCACACTGGCATAGTTAAAGGTGCAATTTGCTGGATCGCCAAACTCATCTTTTCCCAGAGTTTCAGTCGCAGGGGTGTCCACACCAGGCATGTCCTTACATCCCAATGCATCAATGATTCTGGCAGCCAAGCCAGTGCACTACGCTAAAAGCTAGTGTAAAGATCTTTCGAGTGTTTTTGAGTTTGAGAGAATGAAAGTTATGAGAGGAATTAGAAAGCTATGAAAAACTAATCAACGAGAGAGATCATCATAAAGGAATCGTAGATCTGAACTCCCGCGGGAGACTGTAAATGGTGATAGAGTAGGTTGCGTAGCAATCCTACTCCCTCTTTCCAAAAAAACCGGATCCCAAACAACGCGTGGGAAAGATTCGCTAGCATTTTCTAGTAGCGTGGAAGTGCTCCACGCTGGCTAAATATCTAGAGCGATGTTCATCATCAACCTAGTATGACTAAGGCGGTCATTGAGAATTCTGGCTCCAATGACTATTCGCGAAGGACTACGTCATGACTCGAACTCAGACCCTATCTTGGATCGGTTCGCGAATAAGGCTAAGAGCCGTGTATTGCATTTCGCCCCTGACAAGGGTCACGAAAAGCACGACATCAGTCGGACAAAGAAAACATATGAATTAAAGTGGGGGGCAACTGCCCCGGAGATTTGGATGTAGACATTTGCCTCGCACGATGGCAATCCTACAAGGGGATCAGGCCCTGTATGGGTGTAAATACCCTTATGTTCAAAGTCTGGTAGACTGTGCCGCCTTTTGCGGTAGCATGTTGGAGCGTTACAGTGCCATTGTTATTTCCTCGGTCTGTGTGGTAAGGAACCTTGTGCGTTGGCTTAACGGTTCTAATACTGATGAATCATCATTGTGTCGTTGACATGGTGTGGACGAGGGACACGTGCCGTGTTCTCCTTATCCGTGTTTTTCTGGATAAGTCGTTGGCGATGTTCCTTGATGTATTTCTGGTTTGCCTTGAAACTGATGTGGTGAAGCTTGTCACGATTAACGCGCGTGAACTTGCGACGAAATCCATGTTCATCCCGGAGAGTCTTCTTGATATCTACACGGGACTCACGTTCACTGTCCATGACGACCGGTCATGGATGCTGGGTACTACGTCTGTTCAGAACGATGGTTACTTCGTCTTCTGTCTTGGAGCAGCCCTTGGTAGTTCATTGGTCCAATGATTCTACGAAGTTACTTCCTTGTGGTAGGAAGAGCGATAGCTGATTCGCGCTTTTGTTATCTTTTTGGTTAAGAGTTTGCTTCCTTCTCGAGAAGTCCAATTGTCTAGATACTCTAGTTCTTCCTATTGAGGAAGGCCTTGGTAGTGTTGATTTCAAATCCTGACTTCTTGGAGTCTTTGGGGAAAGGTCATCCTAATGTTCAACGCGATCTGCGATGTCGACGTTCGTTAGGATGATTTGATCATCAACTTATGCACGTACATTTTCTAAGTCATGCAAGCGTGCTTTCATATATTGAGAAGGTTGCTCGGGACTATTGCATAGGCCCATAGGCAACCTCTGGTACTCGTACTTTCCCCATGGGATTGCGATGGTACAAAGTTGTTTCGAGTGAGGTAACAGCTCGATGTGATAGTATCCCATGTTTAGGTCTAAATTAGTAGCGTACTTGAATCCATTTAGGTTCAAGAGCACGTCCTGTATTTTTGGGATAGGATAAGGCCTCCGCTTAATCCTTTTTGTTCAAAAGTTCACCGAAATCAGAGATGGCATTCACGAGGTGAACCTCCCGGGACTCGCTAGAACGAGGTAGACGTAGAATCCCCTTTTAATTTTTAGCTTATTCTTTTGTGTCATCCCATGTCTACATCGTACTGCACATCGGCCTCCTTTCGCAGACCATGGCGAACGGGTGCGCCACCTCCACTTTGTCGTTCTTACCATGTCTGCGCCTTGCGCCTCCTAATCATTTCTTTTGCACATACTCGTTGCTTGTCGGCTCTCGTGATTCTTCGAATGATTCAATCACAGGTTTACAATTATCGTGGTGGGCGCCGCGGCCTTTGGTTTGCTTGGCTCCATTTTGACACTTCCTTCATGTCACTGGGTGAGAATCCGAGGCAGAGAAGAAACCAACCGAAACGTTGGACTATGGCGACGCTCTGCGAGATCAGAAGAAGGAAAAAGTCGAATGTATGGCTGGTGCGTCCCCTATTCGGATGACTTCAACGTTGACTCTGAACTGAAACTCGCTAGGGCAGCTTCAATTCTGGCGCCTCTGTTTTCGATTTGTGTCATTTTTGCCAGTCTACACCCAGGAACCGCATCCAAGCCACTGGGCCCGCAGCTGTCCTTGGTTGGCTCTATTTTGGCCTTGATCTTTCAGTTTTTGACCCTGACAGTAAATGGTTCGGAAGTCTGCGCCGTCACACCGGGCGCTTGGTGCGCTGTAGGACTTTCTACTTGGGCATTCTGGGTGGCTCTGGCGGCCGGTGGTTGCTACTTGGTAGCAGCTGGGTTTTCTGTGATGCAGTTGACTTCACAAAAGCCCCCAGCAGAAGCACCTCCAGAAGCAGCAGAAGCATCTGCAGGACCATGATGATTGGAAGCTTCAGATGATCATTGCTGTACAAGCAATACTGTTGGTGTCCCAATTGTTGTTGTCGAAAACAAGCTCCTACTTCATCCACGCACAGTTGTCACCGTAGCCGCCTGCCGCTTTGTTTTCACCAAGTGGAAACAATGGAATTGTGGCCACATCTATAGCCATCATTTGAATCCCACTCTTTTGTCTGTACCGAGCTACCGGGTACCACTAGCATGGCCGTCGTTGCATTGAAATGCAGCCACACTACCGTACTAAGCATAAGCTGGATTGAATCAATATTCAATCATTCAGGTTTGAAGGGAAGATTTGTTGAAGAGAAAAATCAGCTGGTTAGTTGATGAAGTTAACAATGTTCTATAAAGCACTTTTGATAAATTGCTACAGCCCTGAAATGATCGACTTGAAGCCCTGAGCACACGCCACAATCGCATTCCCCTTGCTCCTGTCTTTTGCTTCGGCGTGTATGCTGCCTATGGCGCGGCAGTTCCTCCAGTAGGAGCACGTTTCTCGTTTACGTTGTCAGACTCATGCAGAATAGCAGGGCTGAAGCTGTAGGCGGTACTTCGGTACTTGAATTCCCAAGTGCGCTGGTCTTGGCCAAGAGCATTCATTAGTTGTTTGGAATAGCAGCTCATGCTATCTAGACTACTCATGTAGTCCTTGCAGCACGCGTTGCAACATTCGCTGGTACACGTGATTAGAGCACAGTCAAAGGAGAATGCGTCCATCTTTGGAGCGGCATTGCAGAGGGTGTCAGCCTCGCCAACATAGTCGTTCCCGGTCATTGACAATATTTCTGTTTTTGAAGGCAGAAGCAAAAGAAACAAGAAGCGAGATAAGTTTGTATGTAGCTCCAACAAGCCGCAGGGAGATTTCCATGCAACGTACGAAAGTTCTCAATGTTGGCTGCGGCTGATGGCATCGTTCCGTTCAGCTTGTTATCTGTGAGCAAAAGAATGGAGAGATTCGGGAGTGCCCATACCTCCTCAGGAATAGACCCTTCAAGCTCGTTTGCCTGCAAATTCAAGAACTTGAGATTTGACATGATGTCGAACCATCCTGGAATTTTGCCGACTCGGTTGGTTCGAGCAAGGGAGAGTTCCCGCAGCGCAGTGAAGGAAGACAAGAAGGCAGGGATTGGTCCGGGAGTAAAGTCGTTCTCCCCAAGTGACAGGTAAGTCAAATGACGAAGATTCACGAAGTGGTCTGGGATGGTTCCATTAAAGTGATTCATTTGCATATCGAGGTGCTTCAGGTTCTCCAGATTTTGAATCGAGGACGGGATGACTCCTGTAAAGCCATTTCCGTTGATCTCAATCACCTCCAGGACGGAGTTACTTTCAATAGCTGGTGGGATGGAACCACGCAATGCATTAGCTGACACATCCATGACTTGCAGGTGTGGTCTCTTCAAAAGTGTCATGGGAAAGTCGTCTCCGTAAAACAGATTATTGCTGATATCGAGCTCGCGAACATTTTGAACGTCAGCTAAGAAAAGCTCCGCATCGACAAACCCTGCAAAGCTATTCTGGCCAAGGTACAAGTACTCGAGACCAGTTAGGCTGTTGATCACATCGATGCTTCCTTTCAGCAGGTTCTTCTTGAGATCTAGTGTAACAAGTTTGGTCAAGGAAGCCAAGCTCTCGGGAATGGTCCCTATAGCAAGCGTAGATAAGTTAGTTTGATTGTTCACCGTGCATCACACCGCGACCACCGTTTCAGGCCTACCTGTGATCCTGTTGTTTTCCAGTCCAAGCACCTTCAAGTCCGACCAAGAATCAATCCATGCTGGCATGGATCCGGTGAGCTTGTTCGTGCCAATGTCAATGTATTTCAGACCAGACAGTCGGCTGAGGTCGGGTACAGTACCAGTCATTTGATTGTGGCTCAAGCTTAGCAACTCGAGGTGAGACAGCTGAACAAGCTCGGTGGGAATACGTCCTTTTAACTTGTTTGCAGCTGTGAGTGAGTTAGACGGCAGGGAAGGGAAGGAGAGTGGTATGAGCAACGCGATCTAAAGGGCACTCAAAGGGTCCCCGTTTACTTACGAACCAACAGATCGGTAACTTGCAAGTCGTCGCCTCGACATGAAGCGCCCATTGCATAGACTCCTCCATCTGTGAACTTCTTGGAGTGATACCAGCTGCACTCGTGGTGTTCTGACAAGAAGTCTAGATTGTTATGCCAAGTCTTGTTGCCTCCAGTTGCATGGTAAAGAAGGACGAGCACATAGCGCTGGATGAAATGATACGATTCGTCTGGTGGCAATGTAGGAGAAGGGATGGTGTACTGAAGTGGATCAACGTCTGCCAACCACTTTGCCGCCAAGTTCTGAGGCGTTCCTTGTACCGAGAGGGCAACTTTGTCGGAGACTCCAGTGTCGACCAGCATGTCAATCGTTTCCAGCATTCGTTCGGAGATGTACCTTTCGTTGGTACGTCCATGGTATGGGTCTTGTTCCTTCTTTTCTTGTCGGATCAAGTGAGAGAGTGGTACTATGGCCAAGAATAGCAACACGACCGGAGCGAGGCAGAAGAATAGGAGCAGTTTTCTCGTGTAGCCCGGTTCATCTTCCCCGACACCTGTAGAACCACCCCCGTACATATTATCGTGATTGCCTGATCTATCTGGAATCACGAGTTTGCGTCCTCGTCTGCTTGGTCGTCGCCACCCTCCCGCTTCGCCCTTTTGACCCCTTAAGCTCGGTTGAGACAAGGAAAAGGAAGAAGTGGACGAGTTGGAAGAAAGTGACTCCGGGTACATTTTACCAAACTTGACCGAATGTTTCAACCCTGTGTTGAGTTTTGTGTCTCCTGCATCCCCTTCCATAAGAGGCTCTTCCTCATCGTGAAAGGTTTCGGCTGTGTAAGTTACAATTCCACGAGTTGGCGAAACCTCGACATCTTTCAAGAAGTGAGTTGCGCTATCTCTGGCGTCCCCATACTCCATGGACACGTTGATGATACGACGTTCCGGTGTACGAGGAGTTTCTGGAGGCGACACTGTCCTGTCCTGCTGTGCAGATCGGCCCGTCCTCGTTGGTGCCGAAGGTGGCATCTCCCCCGGGTCGACGACATTGGGACTTTCAAACTGGAAACGGTCTTTGCCAAACATGCTGTTGAATGGAAATGATGAAACAACCAAAGAATCCACAAACCGTCCTTTCCATTACTCGAAGTAAGCTGCCCCCATTTCCGGTCCGTACCACCGGCATTGGCACAACGCATTGCGAAAGAAAATTGCACTCTTGGGAGGAAGCATCAACAGGACTCAAAGATTCATACGTGATTAATTTGTTTTGCTGAAATCGATTGCTGAATTTGAATTCAATTCGAAGTGAACTACTTGGGCCGAATAATTCGTAACATTGCGGAAAAGCGTTTTTTGAATTTGATTCGATTCGCTCACCCACAACCTCCCGCCAAATCGAGGCGTGCTTGCATGCATGATGCAGCCGCGCTGTCTTCCCTCTCAATTTATTGTCAGTGCGATCACGCTAGCATCGTGAAGGATCTGACCATACCCCAAACTAATAACTACAACCTACTAAAAGAAGTAGCAATACGAGTACATCGAAGGACTTTTTTACGTAACTAAAAGAGACAATGGAGACAACGAACGATACTAGTAATCTTCTGGATCTACCAGAGGAACTCCTGCGCAAGATCTTCTGTGATTATTTGAGCGCGGTCTCGGAACGCCATTCTCTTCAATGCGTCAACAAGCGATTCCAGGCACTGACCAACTCGACCAAGATGAAGCAGGCTCTACAGATTTTGCCGCCATTGGTGGATGCTTCAGAATTAACAGACGCTGACTTCGACGAAGAGTGCTCCGACGACTCTCCTCCAATCACCTCCAGTTTTAGTTGTTTCTTGCCAGAAGATACAGCCATGATGGCCATTCAACGATATCTCCCGTTCGCTCAAGTGGGAAATCCTGATGCCCTTTATCTCTTGGGCCTCATTGCAACCTATGTGGAAGACGATATCCACACTGGATTGGCTCTGTTCGCCACTTCACTCGACTCCACAGGTGCAGCACAACCTCAAAAGCAGCGGCTTGGTCGCTCTCAGTTTGAATTGGGACTCACTCTTCGGCGAAAGCGCAATTTTCAAGAATTGGGAGAGCAAATTATCCAGCAGACGGCCTTGGCTGTAGGCCATCCGCACGCTCTCCTTGCCACTACGGAGTGCTCCAGACGATCTCAGCACGAGGAACTGTACAAAGCTTCGGAAAACGAGACAGCCATGACACGCAACATGATTGGATTGCAATTTTTGCTCAACAAGAAACCCAGACCACCCAGGAACGTCAAACTTGAGTTCTGCGGTCATCCCGCTTGTCCTCGACGAGGATACAATACGCAGGTCCGCTATGCGCGACATTGGGTCAAATCCAAGGGATTCACGTCGGGATGGGAAAATTGTCGAGCAGAAATCATGGACAGCTGTGCGACTGCCGGACTTGCCAATTTGCCAGACGCCGTTCAACATGGAGTTTACTGCGTGCCTTCCTTTTGTGCGTGTATCCGATGTGGACGGAAATTGTACTGCAGCAGAGCTTGTCAACGATTGCACTGGAAAGATCACAGGGCGAGTTGTCGACAACCGAGGCGCATGGCCGCGGCATTTGGAAGACCGCAGATCGTTCCCCAGGGTCCAAGGGCCGGTCAACCTGGTAGGCGTATTCCATTCCAACGACTCGTTCGGGAAATTGCAGACGACTTTCGGCATGACCTACGCTTTCCAGGCGGGCCGCCGTAAAAAAATATCATTGGAAGAAACATGTTACCCGTGCGTGCATGGTGCTCTGGCTCTGCAAGATAATTTTGGTTGCTAATGGCGTTTGGTTTGGTGCAATCGGTATCTGGTACATGTACCGGTAGCAATGTGTAAGATAGACGCTTATTATAACACTAAAAGACAAAACCGAAGTCACTTTTGGGTTGAAGGCACTACTACCGTGTACTCATGTCTCTTGCTGTACGTGTACCACCGGCTAGTTGTAGCCAGGTCCTTTTGCGGCGGGTGGTTGAGGTCTTCAGACTACGGAGCCAACATTCCCCGTCGTTGGAGGATCGTGGGGGCGCAGCTCTCAGGGACCCCACCCCGCAATGTTTTCGCCGGTCGAGCCGAACGTGGAATGCTCACCTTGTTTGTCTTTCAACTCAAGCTTCACTCTTGCTGTGCTCTGGGTTTGAAGGGCCTCTATCCTCACCCTAGTGGCTCTAGCCTACCAGTACAAGACAAGTGGCTGCCGAAGCAATGACTCGAGTCTGCGAGAGGCAGCAGGTGCAATGCTGAGGACATGCCTACTTCCGGCACCGTATCCGCAAAGCACCACCATGGCAAACGGTGGAAAGGTATTTCCACTACGCTATTAGTTTCTAGTAGCGTTGGAGGTAACATGCAGCTTTATATGCATTCTTTAGAGTGTAGTGTAGTAAACATATTTCAGAACTGGAGTTTTGGTGGCTGCATGCAGGAACAGCCACAAACGAAAAAAGTAAGGACCCGCTTACAAGGTGTGGTCACGGAGGATCAGGTTAGGGGAGAAGCTGAGGATCGTGCGGTTTGCTTGGTAGCTGTGGGTCTCCTCTTCGTACAACGTTTGCAAGGAGGTGGAGAGCAAAGAACCAAAGCATTCGTCGGAACGATCATTCTGAACTGCATCAGGGCTGCAGCACTCGGAATGGCAGCAGGCACCGTGGCAGACGACTTGTGCGCAGCCATAGGTGAAAGTGTGAAGGTTGGCAGCGTTCTCGCAGATGTCGGCGGCGTGTCCGATGACGGCGTTGTTGTCTACAGCCAAGATTTCTGCAACAGCAAAACAACGAACGCATCGTCAGCCGAATGCACTCCAGAGGTGAGGTTCGGGAAAGCTGCAGGGCGATTGACTTACCGAGCTGCGATTGGGGAAAGGCTGGAGGCAATGTGGAATTCAGCATGTTGGATCCGAGCAAAAGAGTCTTTAGTTTTGGCATCGCGAACATGTCGCTGGGAATGGATCCCGTTAGACGATTTCCGGTCAAGTCTGCACATCGAACAGAAGGCAATCAAATGTGTTAGTTCTTTTCCCCCAGAAACGGCGCCGCCAAATACCGTGGACAGCAGTTAACTGACTTACCCAGATACTCCAAGTGGGACAGCATGGGAAACCAAGTCGGGATCTGGCCTGTCAGCCCCGACATGGGGATGCTGAGGTGCTTCAAATTGAGAATGGTGAACAGAGTGGGAGGGATCATGCCGGCAGCAAAGTTGTTTTCTCCCAAATGGAGGCGTGTCAGGTCCTTCATGTTGCCTAGCGACACTGGTACTGTTCCAGTCAGGGCATTCTGAGACAAGTCCAATAATTCGAGGTTGGATAGCTCTTGAATGTTCAAAGGAATGCTTCCTTTCATTTGGTTGTTACGAATATTCAAATATTCTAGACTGGTCTCGACACTTCCGCCACTGGCAAGGAACGACGATGGAAGCGACGCCTCCAAAAAATTGTTGGAAAGGTCGAGTAGTCGCAGCTGTGGATGGGAAAGTAGGTGGAGTGGAAGAGTGTCGATGGACTTGAACTTGTTGTTGTTCAAAGTCAATTCCTCGAGCTTGTGGAGCTGGATAAAGAAATCGGAATCCATGACATCATCAAACTCGTTGTACTCGAGGTAGAGGAACTCGAGATCCTTCAAATCGAACAATGACTTCTTGACCGTTCCCGTGAATTGGTTGTATCCCAAATCCAAAGTCTTCAAGTGTGTCAAGGAGGTAAAGTCAGCCATGGGGAGCGTTCCCTCGAGCAAGTTGGACGACAATCCCAGGACCTTGAGCCCATGAAGACGACCCAAGACATTGGGAGGGATGCTTCCCGTCAATGCGTTTTTGGAAAGATCCAGATACTGGAGACTGGCGTACAAGTGTCCAATATCCGCGGGAATGGTTCCGCTGATGGTGTTGTGACGAAGCGAAAGGAGCTCCAAGTGACGCAAGAATCGTATTTCGGAGGGAATGGCGCCTTGCAGGTTGTTGTTGGGGATGAAAATATCTTGGACGAGTCCTTTTTCATTGCAGGCGACACCGACAGTGTATTGCTTTCCATCGTTGGCCGTTTCCACCTTGTGCCAAGCGCATTCATTCTGATCGGTCAAAAAGTTCAAGTGGTGCGTCCAGTGTTCCTCAAAGTTAGCATTCTCATTCGACAAGGCGAAGTAAAAGACGGCAAGAATGTATCGTTGCAAGAACCGTTCGTAGGCTTCGTGACGGAGGTGGGCTTCATTGGCTTCCTTTTCCGTGTAGTTGCTGTTGACAATGCTCAGGTCGGCATGTGGTTGATGGGGCGCCGCGGTTTCCGTTTGTTCGCCTTGAAGGGTGCTCATATCGGCAGTGACAGGGATCTCTTCTTTGAGCTTGTCCGTGTCGGCGATCCATTCTGCAGCCAGGAACTGTGGCGATCCCTCTGTGGTGAGAGCCTTCATGTCGCTGATTCCATGTTCGGACAGCCACTCGATGGTCTTGAGAAAGCGAGGAGATTGGATCATCTCATCGGTCACTCCGTCGACTGTAGTGCTGGTTGTGGTGGAGACATCGTTGTTGCTGTTACTGTTGCTGCTGTTATTGTCCTTGGCATTGCTGACACTGGCCGTGGTGACAATGATGAAAAAGGCGACCGCAGTGCCGAGGATGAGAATGCTGCAAAAGACGGAGAGAACCAAGTAAATGCAAGAGCGGCGAGCGTTCTGCTTGTCTTCCTCGCTTTTGAACATCATGGCAGCTTGACGGATGTCCTTGGAAGACTTGCGCCGAGAAGGACGACGCCAAGTGTTGACGGCCGAAGACGACAATGGCTTGGCTTCCTCCAATGCCAATGCAATGGGATCTTCCTCGTCGCTTCCAGTCGTGCTGGTGCTGTAGCGACGGAAAGAGTCCGTCAATACGGCTTGCGCATACAAGCGAGCATCCTCCGGAGAGGGGAGTTGATCATGCTTGACATAGGATCCATCGTCTTCGGTAAATTCCAACATGGACTGTTCCGAATACGAATTCATAAAGGCGTTGTTGTTGGTGTAGCGAACATTACTGCCGGCAGGAGAAGAGACCACACTGGCACTGCGTCCGCCGCTGCGACTGCTGTGGTCACTGCCAGAGCTGCTATCGACAATCTTGATCTTTTCTCCACGAAAGAGATTCTCATTGGGCACCACTTGGATTACTGGATCCGACATGGAACGAGGTCCTCGCGTCGACGAAGAGCCACCTTGATTGCTGCTTTTCGCGCTGTGGCGGCCACGGCCCCGACGGTTGGGATTGCTGGGAGGCGCATCGCCAGCGTCAATGGCGTTCGGAGACTCAAAGTTCATGAATTCTTTGCTCAACATGGTCGACAGTCAATCAATCAATCAATATACGGCTGGATATGATCACGAAGGAAGATTTTTGGCTTTCAACCCTCTCTTCATCAGAAAATGGGCAAACGATTTGGAGACTGTCACTCGGAAGGTACATGTACAGGGAGGGCATGTGGGCTGTGGGCTGAACTGGTAGGTAAACATGTTGTGCTGTAGGTCTGCGAAGCATGACTCGTCAAACTAAGATTGTTAAATAAATAATCCGCACGCTCTTGCTCGTAAAGCGCTCGAAACACTGGTCTCGAATGGTTTGGGGAAAAGGACCGAGGATGGATGAAGAAAGTCCATCAGTGGTGTCCAGGCCGTGTCCACCCCGAGTAAATTATCAACCCCATAACACATGGTTGCGTTCATGCTCACAAGAAAACATTTGGAGAGACACTAATGGATCAACTAATATAGCACGATTGGTGCCCATTCGACAGCAAGGGGCGACGGGACCACTCAAATGATGTTAACCAGTTTATGCACCCCACCGGTACGTGTGTCAAACAACCGCTGGCCGCACTGGTACCATGAAGGGTGGACCTGGAATACATGTTGTAGGATCAGCAAGGCATGATTAAATCGCAAAGTGTGCTGGTGTGGAGGCTGTATCTGTTCAAGAGGCCAAGCTTACTAGAGCCACCAGGAAGGAACGCAAGTTGAGGATTCACGCAGCGGCTGCCTTACTAGCTAGAATGGTATTTTCGGCATAGCCACAGATTGATGGATGCATGGTGGTGATCTAGGTCTAGCTAGTACTAGTAGCACTGATTGCTTTTTGCAAGATCCAACATGCAAGTAAAAGAAGGTAAAATAAATAGGTGCTTTGAAAGTGACTGAGAATAGTACACTCTGTTTCGGCATCCCATGTTTATCCACCTTCTCAAAACTGGAGGTAAGTAACCAAACACTGTAAAGACTGTATCGGTGGTACCACGTCTGGGTTACTCGGCATTCTGTCTGTTTGCCTTTTGGCAATAAGGTGATCCTTTGACTTATGGAAATGTCTACAGACCATTGAAAAGATTTAAGACATTAGGAGACATTAGGAGACAAAGTGATACATTGGTAGACATTAGTATACAAAAAGATACATTAGTAGACAAAATGAGACATTGAGAGACATTGGTAGACAAAGTGAGACATTGTGAGACATTTTTGTACTGTTTTACACTACCTTGTAGACATTACTCCGGAGTAGTAGACAAAGTGATACATTGGTAGACATTAGTATACAAAATGATACATTGGTAGACAAAGTGAGACATTGTGAGACATTGGTGGACAAAGTGAGACATTGTGAGACATAAGCCACTTTTTCTAAGGAGCATAGAACATTTAAGCAACTCTGTAATCAGACACAACAGCTTAAATAGACAAAATGCCGAGTAACCCTGGATAAACCCCGCAGTGTAAAAGAAGCCAGCTGATCCATCTTGTCATGTCCATTTCTGGCCATTCCTCAGTCATGGGTTTTGTATCTTTGCCTCCGTCGTTGCATCATGGCTGTCGATCTCTCCATCCCCGAGCTCTACTACTAGCAAGCAAGCTCCATTCTGATCAGACAAAGCACAAGCAACTTCGAAAATGGCGGACGAACCCGAAGATAGTAGTAATTCCAAGAGCCGGAAAGAGAGGAAGGAAGAAGGAAAGTTGCGCAAACGACAAAGGATTGAAGAATCAGGCGGGGTTCGACCGCGAAGCAAGGAGCCCAAAAACTCGAAAACTAAGAGTGTGGACCAAAAGGGCAAACGAGAAGGCAACAACAAGAAAAAGAAACAACAGAAGAATCATGAACAGAAATCTCAGCACCGCTTTGGCCGTGTCATGGACCAAGTTCCCTGTCGGAATAAACCCCGGTTTTCCACTCTGAGCATTGCCTTACCAGGCAGCGTCCTTTCGAATTGCCAGACACGAGAGTTAAAGACGCATTTGGTGGGACAAATTGCACGCGCCTGTACCATTTATCATGTGGATGAAGTCGTGGTCTTTGATGATAAATTATCCAAACGGAACAACAACAACAACAAGTCAGAAGCCAACAATGCTGGCGAAAAATCGGTCGATTTTTCGTGTGCCTTTTTGTCGCGGGTGCTGCAGTATTGCGAGTGTCCTCAGTATCTCCGACGGACCTTTTTTCCACAGCATCCAGACCTACAATTTGCAGGATTGTTACCTCCGATTGATGCACCCCATCATGTAAGAGCGGAAGATAGATGCAAGTACCGAGAGGGCGCTGTTCTGAAACCAAAGGGCAACGAAGAAGAGACAAGCAACCTTGTCAATTGTGGCGTGAGAAACCGTCCCATTGTGTAAGTAAAGCCTGGTACCATTATTTATTTATTTGCACTTGCCAAACCCGGAACGATATTCCAACTAGATGCTCTATGTGATCTTGATACCCAGGATTGACCGATCTCTCCCACCGGGTATCCGATGTACTGTGGAGTTGGACCCAAAGGACTATGGCCGTCCTGGAAAGAAAATGTCGGGCAAGGTAGTCTCCCCAGCAGCCCCCAGAGAAGACAATGGGACCTACTGGGGTTACACCACTCGCATTGCAGATTCCATCCAGAATGTCTTTGAGGAATGTCCTTTTGAGGGCGGTTATGACTTGAAAATTGGAACCAGTGAACGAGGAGATGCGAATATTGAAGACCCCAAATTCTCCTTGCCACAGTTCGCTCACTCTTTGATTGTCTTTGGAGGAGTCGCTGGCATTGAGGAATGTATTGATGCCGATGAAACCAGCAAGTTGCCGGGTTCAGAAAGCAAAAACTTGTTTGATCTGTGGTACGCTCGTTCTTGTATTTGTGATATACGAATTCATGTATGATGATTGATTGACACTTCTGCTTTCTCCGCCGTCCGCTTGTGTGGTGTCGAAATTCAGGGTCAATATCTGCCCATTTCAAGGTAGCCGTACCATTCGGACGGAGGAGGCTGTTTTGATCGGCTTAGCAAAGTTCAGCCCTCACCTGGCTACCAGTGGTGCAACAATGGGCCCAAACAATAGCAGTGAAGCGGAGAAAGGCAAAGGAGAGAACGCACCAGTAGTGGAGTTTTCGGACGGAGCAGTGTCTGAGGAAAGCAGCGATAGCAACAGTGAAGACTCAGAATAGGCAAACCTACATACGGGACATTTGCAACTATGGCGACCAAAAATTCTATTTTCTCTCTACCCGACCTATTAGTACGGTATACCCTCAGAAGCCACCAGAAACGTTCCTAAGATGGCCTACGATCCTAATGTTTCCAACACAGCACTTCCTTGGGGCATCATCTGCTTCTGTCCTCTTCTAAACTTCCGTTCTACCCTACCTCTATTCGCTTAACTTTTAGGCTGATTGATTCTATTATTCATTCTTTGTCTCACAAACTCGCTCTCTCTCTACACTGCGAATGCTGTTCTAAGGCTACCAAATCCTCAAATCTGTAGATTGCTGGCCATCCACAGCCATTATTCCATCTGTGCAGTTCCGTCTTCTCCCAAGATGGATCCAGATGTGGTATCCACTCCCATGATTTTTTCCAGGTTAAAGACGTCTTTGGAGACTCGTTGCACAGACTCTTCTGATCCTTGTTCCTTGAAATAATCTTCCAAGTTGCCATCAAATTGTTGCGTGAATCCCAGATTGTCCGAAATCAAATGCTGGCTCATACAGCCCTTGCACACAGTAATGACCACTCCCTTTTGGTAGGCTAAAGAAATAATGTATCAGGCATTGTTAGGACCGGGTAGAAAAAGACAAAAGAAAGCTGCTGCTCCAATCCGAGAATTTCTTGGACTCACCAATTCTGGAGACCTTATGAACATTCCGGGTTTCGCACACTTTGCAGGTATACTGCAACTGCATTTTCCGTCCCATCAAAGCTTGGTCTGGAGAGTCCTCTCCCGAGATCTTCCGTTGCACTGCGGCAGCAGCATCAAAGGAAGAAGATCCAAACGAGGGTAGCTGAGGGATTTCCTTGTTGCTGCTGTCGGATGCAGATGCGTCTTCTTCTGAGCTTCGGTTCCGCCGTCTTGCTTCCAGCGTTATTGTGGGCTCCAATGCCAATCGTCCGTTGGTGAAGGTACCGTGGCGAGGTAGAAAAGCAGAACATTCGGCTACCATCAGGAGGCCTATCAGCAACGAAATGCACCTTGTCATCATCTTGTAGCTAGGTAGAATGGAGAGCGAACTGAATGGACAACGGACGGGAGATAATGGGACAAAGTATACCCCTTTAGCATCTTAATTATGGCATATGCTTGGGTAAAGAACAAACAAAAGCAGAACGGATTGCAACAGAATTTCCAAAAGAGCATCATTGACGTCGGATTTCTCTGGGGCGAAAATAAGATACGCACTTCCATTTTGACTGAGTGTAAAAAGTCAAGCGAAGCCAGCAGATTTATAAGGCTCACATCTTCCACTTGGCAGTGTTGAACCACCAATCGCCCTCATTTTTCGCAGCTCCGTGCTTTGCAGAGTGCAGCGTAATGGAAGATGATCTCCTTTCTGTCAAGACAATGCCTCTTTATCGCCCTCCTGCTGCTGATGTTGATGACGGCCCGTGCCCAATTTGGTGTGAAGGACAAGGACAAAGCAAAGGATGGAAATCATAATACGAAGAACCAACTTGATCTAGAAAATGACCCAGAACTTCTCGCTGCCATGGAAATCTTTGCGGGCATGTCACCCGAAGAAATGGAAGAAACCATGAAGGAGCTGACTCAAATGTTGGGAGATGATCCGGAAACGCTATCGGCCATTCGAGACGTCATGAAAGAAATTCCCAATCTCAAAACGTCCGACATTCAGTCTTCGCTGAAGGAAATGGTTTCCGAGGATGAAGTTGCCGCGGCCACTCAAGACGCACTCAAGTTGCTGGGAAAATCCAACTGGGAAACCATATGGGAAAAACAAGATTTGATCTTGGAGGCCGTGATTCAATCGGGACAGCTCTCTGCGAACGATGCAGCACTCTACAAGAGCGACAAAGATGCTTGGGAAAAGGAACTACGATTTATATGGAATGAACTGCAAAAACAAGCAGCTGCCTCCTCTGGAAAGGATGAGTTGTAGAGAGAGTACCAGATACTGGTGGTGTTTGACATGGTCAGAGTTGTGAAGCAGTGCATGTTCAAAGAAACATTGTTCCAGAACGAAGACTTGGCATCGCTAAAGAACGATGCCGGTAGGCCAATCCGCATGCAGGAAGAAACACAGTCAGCTGCTGGCATACACCACAACAAAGGAAGCTATGCTACTGTACGGTGCGTCCTAATATCACTGCCTGAGGTAGCTAGGTAACAGGTACTTGACACCCTATTGGTATCATCTATTTGTCATCGCGATACTTCAGGTAAGCTGGGAGTTATGCATGACCTGCAGATGTACCACGGCTCGCCAACTTGGGCTGGCTGGTCCAACATGTCGCTGACAACATAATTGTAACACTTGCTAGCTAGTTGCATGTTTTAGTACATCTGGGAGGTTGGTCTTTAACTCTACCAAGCCAAAACGAAGTAAGGATGCGGAGCCCTCGCGGTACTAGATTCACAAAAGGTCCCCTGAGATGTCTGACCTGGTAGGCCTCCAGCTACTCCACAACCCTGTAGGCCAAGTACGACAAACCCAATGCCATGAAGATATCAATTGTGTTTGCAACGAGGTAGACTTGAATGATGCCACTCCTCCATGCCTCTTGGAACAGCTTTTTGACGTTGGTGGTAAGCCCAATACCCACAAACGCAATGGCAAACCACCATTTGTTAAGTGTGGACACTGCTCGCGGCAGTGCATCTCCCTCCAACGTACCATCCAGCTCTTGCATCATGCAAGTCAAGATCACAGAAGTGATGATGAACCCTAGAGTGAACTTTGGAAACTTGTCCCAAAGCATGACAATGCTAAACTTGGGTGGCTCCTTACCGCTTTCGTCGGGAGACACGCGGAAAGCACTCCAATAGCACGAAATCACACTTGCCATCACTCCCATGCCAGCATTCAGTACCATTTTGACAATCCCTGCAACCTCTGCGGCTTCATCAGATATAATCGCTGCTGACACCACCACATTACCAGTTTGATCAACGGATCCTCCAATCCAGGCACCGGCCACATCGTCCGGCATGCCAACCGCGATGGCAACATAAGGTTGAACAAAGGTGAAGATAACGGTGAAAAAGGCAACAACACTGATTGCCAGAGCCACATCTTCGCTGGAGGCAAGTACCACAGGTGCCACAGCACTAATGGCGGAAGCTCCACACCAAGAAGCTCCGACTGCGATCAGCATTGCCAGCGTGTCCTTGCAGCCAAACACGCGAGTGCCAATGAAAAATCCAGCAATGATTGCCACTGGTGATCCAACCCAAGATACTATCATGGCTGGACCACCGACTTCCGCCAAAACCGTCAACTCGACCGCCAGAAGTACTAAACTGCACTTGATAAAGTACTCTCCATCTTTGGCTGCCTTCTTCTGAAGCCATTCAATGGACTCTTCTTTGCCCACGAGGACAGTCAAGTTGCTGACAATCATGCCCAACAGGATCGCAAAGACAGCATACCCAAGTCCGTGTTCACTACACCACTGATTCCGACCAAGCCAGAAAGCAATGGTTCCAATGAGAGCCATGACGAAATAGCCACCAACATAGGCAGTCATGTGACCATCCAGCTTTCCCATGGCTTTAAGAGAGACCAGATAAAAGACGAGGAAAGCCAACAGGAGCAAGGGAATACCAATAAGATTGTAGAGATCCCACGCATCGAATGGGTTGGTATGCCACGTCTTCGGTTGAGGAACGACATACTTGACGCGACCTTCGAGAGGAATGGCAAAGACCAAAGCGACAGCCAATCCAAACGAAGCCAGTCCAATCCAGAGAGTCCACCAGTCTGCTTTTCGGTAGAGTTCCACAATTCTGGGATGCTGGTACCAAGGATTACGCTTCGGCTCTTCTTCTTCTTCCTCTTCTTCTTCCTCGCCACTGGTGCTAAAGGGACCAGCATTGCCCATGCTGTGGCTTCCATCTTCAATCGCCAATGTCTTTTCTGTGGCGTCCACTAACTCTATCTCCTGGTTCTTCTCCAGTTGCGTTTCTGGATCCCCATCTGCATTTTCGACCGTTACAATCACATTTTTGGGTTCTATTGCCGTCTCATCCTTCATCATGGTGCCGTTTTCAAAGAGTTTCTCCGGGTGGTAAGTCCAGTAATGGAGACTAGCTAGCTAGTACTGTATGAGTACGGTAGGAAACTATGGCAAAATGGCAAGCAACCTCAAAGAAGCTCAGAAGCGACTGTACCAACAAGAAGAGCAAGAGAAGGCCCAAGCAATAAAGTGAGGTGCGACTCCACTGTTTTTTAAAACTCCCACAAGACTTAGGCATGGCACGAATGCCTGGTCTTGCAGGCGCCTTATTCGATATTTATTTTACTTGTAGGACGTACGTACATTTTGTACCGTAACCCAACCATGATGAGGACTACGGCGATGTACTACTAGAAGCTAGCTAGTACCTTTTGGCTAGCTAGCCAGACTACAATGTCACGTGAGAGGACTAGACGGACCCGAAGCAACCTGCCGTACTACATACTGTACCGGTAGGGCAAAGCGATCCCAAAGTCCGAAGCAAGGCAATGATCAAGGATCTGACCTCTTGAACTCAGACTAAGAACTAACTGATGAAGGAGAGGCTGATTGAACCTGACGATTGCAATGAAGCTGCTCCTCTCAAACCACTGAGTACAATGTAGTGTTTTCGGGAGTAAGATAGACAATCATCATTAATATGTATTAATTTCAGCTCTAGACGCATCGACGCGTCATAGAGACAAATCCATTTGCCATATAGGATTAACCCTTTCCTATTGGTAGCGTACGGCTGGGCAAGGTTGTGTGTCTTGAGAATCTCTAAAGGTTGTGTTTCTTGAGTTTCACCTTCTCAAACTGATAGAAAGCCCGTTCATATTGGCTTTCCCAAATGGGATCAACTCCTCCTAGCCACACGTCATCATCACAGTGTTTATCAGCATTATTATCAGAGCAGCACAAGGTGCAACAAGTGCATTGCTTGATTTCCTCACAGTCAGCCACAAAGACCTGGGGCGTTTCTTTCTTGTCGCACACGTGTTTGGCGGTTCCATTCAAATTGTTGTCCTCAAGCATCAGAAAGTCTAGAGCAAAATAAAAAATGGTGCGTGTGAGAGGTAAGTCAACATAGAGGACATCCTGTACCGGTAGGGGAAAATGGCAAAGTATGGCTCACCAATCTTGGACAACTTCTCAAAGCTTTGAGGGATGCTTCCATGCAGCTTATTCGAATTCAAAAGCAGGAACTTGAGGTTTGTAAGGTCGCCGAGTGCTCTGGGAATAGTTCCCTGGAGCTGGTTGCTGTCGAGGTCAAGCAACACCAATGAGTGCATAAATCCCAACCAATGGGGCAAGATTCCTGTTCGCTGTGTGGCCTTCAGGGATAAGTCCTCTAAGTTGGTCAACTTTTGCAAGAACGAAGGTATTTTGCCTTCAGCAAACTTATTCATAGACAGGAATAGATACTTGAAATTGGTCATGTTGCCGAATGATGCAGGAAGTGTTCCAGTGAAAAGGTTGTTCGACAAGTCCAAATGGCTCATTTTCTCAAGGCGACCCATGGAGTTTGGGATCTGCCCTTTCAACTTGTTGTCGTGGAGGGCCAAGAATTTGAAGGCATTGTTGGTCTGGCCAATCACCGGCAATGAGCCTGTGAGTTGATTCGAATGAATGTCAGCAACGCTAAGATTCTTGAGGGCAAAAAAGCCTGGCGGGATGGTAGATGTCAAATTGTTATTACTGAGATCCATGATCTGCATGTGCTGCCAGTTAAACATCATGGGGTCCGTAAGGTTTCCGTGGAACTGATTGTCTTCCAAAAGAAGCGCCTCGAGGTTGGTCAATGGCTCTAGCATCTTGATGTCTCCTTGAAGCCTGTTGTCATCCAAAAAGAGCTGATTCAAACCAGTAAGAAGTCCTACTTCGCTCGGGAGGGTGCCTGAACGGAAGAGCGTGAGTATTGGTGCATCAGTTTCATTGCGCATCAAATTTTGAAGAGTGTATCTTCATCCTTACCGGTAAGATCATTATTGGACAAGACCAACGAAGTGAGTGCCGTCATCTCCCCGATCCAGCTTGGAATGGTTCCTTCGAGATCGCAGAAGTGCAACGCGAGATATTCCAACTTGGGAATCTTGCGGACTGCCTCCGGAAACTTGCCCCCAACATCAGGGTTGCGGTAAACCGAAATAAAGCGAAGCTCTGACAAAAGACTCATTTCGTCTGGGAATACACCATGCAACCACTTTTCAGCTAATAAGAAAGATCGAAAAGAGGGAATTGTTGTTAGACATTGCATCAGGCTCATGGATTCATCGTTAACATAGAATTGTGAGAAGACTTACGGAAAAAGAGCTCATGTACTTTTTCGCCCTTCGTACAATGAGCTCCTACGTAGCGAGGTTTGTCGTCGCTTCCAAATCCAATACGGTTCCAGTCGCACACCTGAATGACAGAATTGAATAGAGAGATGTAGTTAGTTGCAGTTGCTGCCATGAACCTTCATCGCGACCAGCGGCAAGAACTAACCTTTCTCGCGGCCAAAAATCCCAGATGCAGGGGCCACTTGGGACCATTCATGGCGAAATAGAACACCGCCAGAGCATAACGCTCGACAAAGGCTTCATCGTCGACCGGCAAGTGGAAGATATCTTCGTCGGCAATCCATTTGGAAGCCCAGTACTGCGGCGAGCCTTCTCGCATCATCTCGTTGACGTCGGAATGTTTGCTCAAGTATTGTCTAACAAAATCAGTACGAGGCTCGTAGGTCCCCGGTGCTAACTTGGGAGGAAGGTTACTGTCGCCTTGACTGTGCTTCATAGCCTCTTTTTCTTCAATCGCACCAACTGTAAATGCCAAAATAATTAACAAGATGAATGCGCAGCAGATACAGGAAAAGCAATAGAAGCACCAGCGCCAGTAAGGAGTCCTTCGACTAATGCTGTCACCGGTTGCAAGATCAAGATTAGCTTTGGCTTCGTCCACCGTAGGCAATTGATCATGGACCATATCATCCTCGAGACCCGGGCCCTCAATCGGCTCCATCAGACTGGGTGTACTGGTGTTCTCCTGATTAACGGAGATAATGGCGTCCGAATTGTCGTTGACGTTGCTGCTGTTCATCATGATGTCCTTTTGACTGAATCAATTAAAACTGGATAATGAGAAGATAACAAAGATAGCTTGTGCGGTACATGTACCAATACACCAATACCCTTCAAGCAGAGCCGCTTTGAAACTGTGGGAGGGTGATCGCAAATCAGGCTGCCAAAGCAATTTGTGAGCAAGAGATGACCGTTTTGAGCTCCCGAAGGAGGCGTTTGAATTCAAATTCCTTCGCAGATCCTCCAGTCCTGGGTGTCAATCAAGACTGTAAAGCTGGTTAGACTGCAAAAGACATCGGTAGACTAAAATACTATCTTTCTGCACCCTCAGAAGTAATTGTTGGAAAACAAAGTTCCAGGTATTACATGTACAAGAATGATTATGCCCACTTGCTGCTGGAATCTTCATTGCCAATCTCAACCTTCCGCCCAATCCAACAGTTGAATGGCAACTTTCGAGGAACCAATAACAATGGCACTACTGAGAACTGGTGCCCAAAGCACACAACCATCATCAGCTGTTTGACTGAAGCAAAGATTTTAAGAGAGACTTATTGACTCCTTGAGACTTTTTTTGACATCAATGTGATGGAGGTCTGTGAAAAGGGCGAGGCATGCACCTCAGCGCTTGGCAGCCACCATGAAGATGATGGGTGGAAAGGAGGTCTATCACAAGTGCTACTGTATCCTTCAAGAAGCATTTGCCGTGGTCACTCTTTATGACAAGCTCCCACAACAAAGGGGGCCGATGTGGCTCATGGAACGAATGCCATTTCCTATGTCAACTCCCAAAGGGATTCCTTTGTCCATCAAGATTGTGAATGAACTCTCTGACACCGCTGTCACCAATGACGACACCGTGGCTTTGTTCCAGGCCAGCTTCTCCATACTCAATGCGCATTTGGAATGTACATTGAAAGAATCAAACGTAGCACTACTGAGGATGCATCAACTTATGAGCAAGAGGATTTCCATGCAAGAACTTCATTCTGAGAACTATCTTGAACCCTTCTGCAAGCTCTCCGGACTGTGCGTTTGTAACTCTCTTATTCCTGACGCAACACTCGTTGACAAGAAGGTGCTGCTTCGATTCATTGTGTCGTGCCCTCCAGCACTGTTCAGAGGACGTGGCAGAGCAGATTCAATGTTTGCCATTCCATGAATGTACCCCTGTACGAAAACTCACACAACGCCTGGGACTGGCTCATTACAAGCGGTGGCCAGATGAGAGCAGCCGAGACTCTACATTGTACAACAGGAACAGTTGGAAGTTGAGTCCTCCCATGCACTACTAGGGCTGGAGTCGAGATTGCCAGCAAAGGGGCCAAGTGTTTTTACCCTACCGTACAGCTATATACAGTGACGATGATGAATAGCGAACTCACTTTGGGCGTTGGGCAAGGAAATGTTAACAGTGCAACCTGAAATGAGCAGGGACGCTGTCTGAAGAATGGGTGAGAAAGCTGGATACCATTGGCTTTGGTTGGGGATGCAACCACAAGACTGGTTGTGGGAGGCGACTTCTTTTCGAGCACCCTCTGACGAGAAATTCGTTGCTCCCGATGCTACTATGTGCCTCCGTGGTGCTTGTGTTCCTGCTTCTATGATGAGCTCCCGGCATTGGGATCTCAAGGGGGGTTTAGAGGAGGTGGATGTGGTGCTCTTGATCTCTCCCAATAGCTATACTCTTTGTCCTTTGCTCCTTTCTCCTTTCGCAAACTGCCCTCATTCCTTGCCACCCTTTCCTCCCTCGGTTGTGCATTTGGTCTGCTCTCTTGGCTATCCTGCTCGCGCCCTTGCACATTGCCCTGGCTCGTCCTCTGGAGTCCATTCCCGCCCATAGTCCACTCTAACCTCTAACCGCATAGTAACCTGCAATTATACATTTTCCAGCTGCCGCAGTATAGCTAGACACCCAGAATGGATTCTCAGGAGTGTGTGATGACTGCTTTTTTAGAGTCAAAAACATATTGACAAACAGCAATGCGCGAGAAGAGGAGCTGGACCTCTGCACAGAACGGTTACGTATGTATATTCTCTCCTCCTTTCACTTACCCTTACCCTGTAGTTTATGCTCTCCAGGTACAATCGAAGCTAGCAGCGTATAATCAAACTATCGTATTAGCTTCGATGTGTGTTCCATGCATGTACGGAAGGTTGCACTGCGTGGGTGTCTACATCCAAAAGGTTTCGTTCCTAGTCCTTTAGCTTGTCCTATTTCTTCTCATCATCATTAGCCAAGAACTTGTAGGTGTTGACAATAGCTGAAGGACCCTTGGAAGGTTCGACCTTTCGGAATTGATCGAGGTACACACTCAAAAACTTGGGACGTTGCATCCCATTCGTTCAAAGCAATGAAGATGAGATTCGTAGACGGCTAAATGTCCGCCGGCAGTGTAGACTTTGGATTGTGCTTCGTAGTCGCCTCTGCAAACGCAGCTTGGCATGCTCCTTGACTCAAATGATGCAGAATCGGTTGGGTAACAACAACTTCAAACTCCTTATCCACCCCGTACTTTTGGAAAAGGAAACAAGAAAGTTCGTTTCCAGCCACTCCAAATTGTAGGGTTTCTAGCAATCCAATATCCATCAGGGACGCTATAGTCCAAACGTCACCTTTCAACATATGACGGTTCCTAAGACTTGAAGGACCGATAAGGGCTCCTCCATTAGAACTGTGTCTTTGGCGCTAACAAGAAAGATGGCCTCCTGTTTCCCAACAGTCGCAGGGACTGCCATCATGGCACCTCCAATGACATTTGTGCCCAGTGTTTCCACCACGATTTGCTCTTGAGCTTCAAGGGCAAATGGGTCATGCGACGTAATTGTACCAATGTCTTGCCTTTCCATGCACCGGGATCGACGGACTTGATTATAGCCTCAGCCGTGGATAACATTTCATCCGCCAGGACCATCATCAAAACGACATTGGACTTTCGACAGCCTGGGTAGGTCCTCGCAGATTCATCACATTCGAGAGCTCCATGGCTTGCGTCAATTTTCGGTTAGGTTTGCTGGACTGCATACCCTTGGTCCGAATATGCTCTAGCGACCATACGGCCCATGTACCAAGACCAAGCAAGGTGGCATCTTTCGCGTCGTTGGTGACGTTCATCTTGTTGCTTGATTGCTTTCTTGTTATAGGGAGCTTGGGAACTTGTTTTGTGAGTGTGATCCTCAGCGTTGCTGCCAGCCGAATGGATTCATTCGTGTTCCAAATGTTTGTTCTCCACCGCGAAGCCACGAGCAAGCTCACACAACGAGAACTCGAAGCAGCCAAAGGAAAGGAAAGCTCTGGAAGCACCCGATGCTGGCGGTAGTACCTTTAGGTTGTTGTGCTGCGCTCGGCATTGCAGCGTATCCATGGCGGCTTCAGTCTCAGAACAACAGGATAACGAACCCGAACATTTTGTTGGGGATGTGAGTCAATGGCGATTGGGTTGCCACCAAGACCCTTTGTGCATCAGGTTCCTTCAGCGCACTTGTGTCCGCTCTCTGTTTTCGTCGGTAGTCATCAAGAACATCTGGAGACACTCTAAAAGAAAGTTCCCACGACATTTGAACCAAAGCGTTGGTTACCCTCGGCGTGGTAGTATCTTTACCCATTTGGTGGCCCTTTAGAATGGTACCGGTACACGTCCCTCATCTCCCGCCATCCCAATGAAACGATTCGATTCGATTCGATTCCTCACAGGTAGCCGACGACTCCCATCGATCCTGGCTCATCGCGACTTTTGAAGTCGATGACAGATGATCGTTTGTTGCGCGACGAACTTCGAAGAGGTGATGGAGCACGCCCGGGCTGATGTGTGCAAAACACTGCCATCTACTAGGAACAGGACAGCTAAAACTGTAATCCATACGATCTGGTACTGTCTGCCTGGCAGAACTCCGATGTGCCTTCGGATGCTTTGCGGATAAAACCGGGTGAGCGTACGTAGCTGAGGAAGTACATCACGTGAGCTTCGTTGTGGGATGCTTCTGTCGACGCGATGGCGTCGCTTCATTTCCGAAACCCAAGAAAGACGAGAACACGAGCGGTACCGTACGAGCGTAGACTACCTACTTCATTCAATTAATCAATGATGCCACCGCGGGGTGGTTGTGGAGGCAAGACGAATGATACCGGTACATGTTGCATACAGGTACGATAACAAGAGCTTCGCGCATACAAGCTGCACATCACTGATCTTGCACGAATCGAATCCACACCGGTACGGAATGATTCGATCACTATTTTCTTTGATTCCAAGGAAGGTACGAGTAGTGTGGGCATCGTATCATCCGTTTTGCTTCCAATAAGCTCTTCTATTGGACACTAAAACCCAAGAACGACGTTTCCACGTTACTCTACCGGTAGGCTACACGATAGGCGTACCGGGACAAAGGATGAAAACTCAGCTAGGCGCTACGACTCGACTGGACTCCACGGTATCGATACTGGTGCGGTGGGATCAGGCACGTGGAGGAAAACCTGCTTACTCATCCCTTTGCGGGAACACGTCCAGTTGCCCCCTGTTTATTGCCCAAGTAGCTGGGAATCTAAAGTACTCCGTTTGGTACATGTGGCAACATAATATGGCCATGTTTAATCCAGCAAAGAAACCCTCCTTCGTCGGTCGCTCTCCATGCAAGAAGTCGAGCAAAAAATGACCCATCTCGGGGATGTTAGATAGCCAGCTAGAGGTACGCTCGGTACTACACTCTTTAAAATGAAACTACTAGTAGTACCTACCAGAGTACCAGAGCTAATTACAAGTGTAGTGGTGCTACTTGCAAATTCTTGGTGGTTGTCCGCTTTGGGGATTTGATTTATGTATGACAGCAACAGTACCACCACTGTAGTAGCATAGATGCACTACCTCCAAGGTGCCTAAAATCGCCGTTTTCTCATTGGTACCGGTACAATGTGGCTTGTGTAGGTCGTCCGCCTCTCGGCGTGTGACACCGAGGTATCCGAGCCATTCGCCGATCCCTTGGATGCAGTTTTAATGCTATCTACGTAAATTAAGTAAAGTTAATGTTCCTTAACGGGTTTAAGAGGTTAGCCGGCTGGCTCTGACTCAACGACAAACGTTCGCCCAATGCGCATCGCCACTTGCTTTAGCCTTTCATCACAATATCTCTGTTTCGTAGAGCCATCCATTCTGTCAGTTGCAAGAGTGAAAGCCGAGGTAAGGAAGTGCCGACTAAGAAGGACTAGCTAGCTAGAGGAAGAGTCAAGAGGGAGTATCGTTATGAGCTACAACAATCCGCTGTGATGGACTTGGTAGATGAATGATTGGTGTTGGAAGTTGCATTGATGGCCCGATCTTGTGGAGGAGGCTTTGATCGGTCGACAACAACCAAAGACGCCAATGATCAGTACACGCAACATCATAGCCCAATCCACAAACCATTCTAGGTTCCGACTGGCTCTTCCTCTAGTGGATGCTCTATTGTTACATTGACATTGAGAACTGACTGGTTGTTTCTTTTCCGTTCTCTTTCCCCATCACTCCATTTGTAGATAGATAGAAGATGACTTCCACTCTTTATGATGAAGAAAAGGTCGCTGCACCTGCCCTCGTCGAGGAGGCGCAGAGAGCCCCCAAGAAGGTCTCTTCCCTTCGACGATGGGCTCCTGCCATGATTGCCATGGCGGTTGTTGTAGCCTTCAATGCTGTTATGCTGGGACCTACTGGAGAACGCATGCCTGAGCTGAGTGACAAGGCACAACGAAAGCTACATCTGGCAAAGGCTCGCACAGCGGCTGTCATGGAGATGGATGCGCCACGAAATGAACGCCGTCTTTCTCGAGGAAATGGATTTGGAAACCGAAACCTCGCAGAAGAGGAAGGAGGTGTCATGGAATACACACGCCGTCGTCACCGATACCTTGGGGAATATGTTCACATTGATGTCTCGGGAGAATTCAGCGCTTTCGGAAAGTGGTCCGTCTCGCTCATCTACTTTGCTTTCTGGGTCTTTTTGATGTTCCCCAACTGGTTTCTCCCAATCGGACGTCCGGGTATTGCTCTTGGTGGAGGTCTCTCCATGGTTGTCTGGCGATTCGGCTTGCAATTGATTGGACATGGACCCTACTTTGATGCCGAGCGTGTCATCATTATGGAACCTCTCTTCCTTCTCTTTGGTCTCATGCTCACCACCATCTATCTAGAAAAAATGGAACGCGGAGGACTCTTCGACAAACTCCGAGACTCTTTGGATGATCCCGTCAACTGGAAACGATCGGCAAAGATTATGGCCATGTCCACCATTGGCTCGGCAGCTGTCATGAACGACTCCATTGTGCTCATCTTCTCTGGTGTTGTCGTTGATCTTTGCGTCCGCCACAAGGTCGCCAACTCCCTGCCATACCTGCTTTCTCTGGCCACAACTGCCAACATTGGATCTGCCCTGACAATGACTGGTAACCCCCAAAACATCCTCATTGTCTCCCTTGCATATGACGACATCAAATGGCTCGAGTTTGCCAGCAACATGGTTCTTCCCGTTATTGCTGCCACCATCATTAACGTCTTGATGATGTTCACCTACTACGGAAGCGAATTGTTCCCTGGATCCTCTGGATTCATTGAGAACTTTGGAATCATGGCCATGGGAAACCGCACACCCGAGATGCTTGCCCAAGAACATGCCTACTACGCCCGTCAAGTACAAGGCAAGGAAGAAGAGGAAGAGTCCCATTCATGGTCCCTCTGGTCTCGTCTCCAGATTATTGTTGTTACTCTTTTCTTGATCTGCTTCGCTTGTGGTCTTGATGTCTGTGTTGTTTCCATTTGTGCCGGTGCCATTCTCATGGTCATGGCTTCCTACAAGCGTCAACACTACGACCCACGCCCCACCACCATTCAATACGATGCCGAGTAAGTATTTTTGATCTATCCTTTCACGATGATTCTTTTGCGCGAACAGTGTCTCACCCCATACGAACTCTTCTTGCTTGCAGAGGAAACCCACTTCCACCCAAGAAGACTTACGATATGGATGGAAACGAAATTGAACCCGAAGAGGAAGAGTTGGTCACTGAATCTGAGACAACTCTTACCGAAGTCGATTATGGTCTTCTTATGCTTTTCATTGGTCAATTCATCTTGATTGGATCCTTCGACGATACTGGTGTCCCTCAAGCCTTTTTCAACTTCACCATGGGAAGTTGCGCCGACCAGATGACTTCCGGAGCCTGTGTGTACTGGTTTGTCATTATCATCACAATCCTGTCCAACATTGCCTCCAACGTGCCAGTCTGCCAGATGCTTGCTGCTACATTCCCCTACGCAAGTCCCTACGATTGGTTGCAAGTGTCGTACTCTGCTACTATTGCAGGAAACTTGACCATGCTCGGAAGTGCTGCCAACATGATTGTTGCCTTCCAGGCTGCCAAGGTTGGAGACCGCACGTTCACCTCGGAGCGCCACGCTCCTTTCGGAATTCCTTCCACCATTGCATGTTTGTATGCCGGAACCTTCTTGCTGTCCATGGTACACTTCAGTCCAGAATGCAGTGTCCGTCTGGGTGAGTGCGACTAGAGTGATTGAGTCGCATCTATTTCGCACCTGGCGTTCTTTGAAATTGTGTCTAGGTCTAGCAACTATTTATGAAATATAGCAAAAATTATTTATTCTAGATGATGATGGCATACTTTTGTAATTGTAGTGTACTGGTACTTCACAAACCAATGACATGTTTGTACGTTTTTAGCAAAGAGCATACAAGTAGTTCTTTCGGCAGTTGCTATCGGTACCGGTACCGGCCACTTGGCACGCCATGCTAATGCTAATGCTATCTTGAGCGAATCATCAAGTTTTGGATCAGCCCATTGGCGGAGAAAGTGCCTGCCTCATCGCAGGCGCCCACTCGGATGAATCCAAGATCTTCCACTGGGCCCAGGTTCAATTCGGCAGCACCTGTGACATCCGCTATTTGTGCTCCATTCACAAAGATGGCCAAGTTGGTTGTGCCGGGTGTCTCTGAAGTATCCCAAAGGGCCTCGATGAGGACCCATTCATTAGAAGACCAAAGAGGGGCCCTCCAGGCCCCCTGAACAGAAACTGATTCCCAGTTGGCATCTGTGAATCTCAGTTTTAGTGCATCAGCCTCCGCTATTGCCATGGAAGGCGGGTCATACATTGCCCCTACCAGCAGCAAACAATGCGTAACATCATCCTCCCCTGATGCGTAGCTTGGTTTGTACCAGAATGAGAGAGACCCCTGGTTCAAGTCAATATTATGATGGCGGGTGCCATCAGCACTAGTCGTGACAATCGGAAAGCTGACACTGGACGACCCCTGGAAGCGCGCACAGTTAGCATCACCTTCACGCCCCGTTACAAAGTCCAGCTCATTGAGATTCGTCACTGCTCCCAAGGACAAGATGGATTCCAGGCTGTCAAAGCTGGCCTGGAATCGTATGGCTCCATCGCCCGTTGCCGCGACGACGGCGCTATTGTTCGCTTTGGCCTCGATGGGGATCGATTCCAGAGAAGCAAGACCAGGCCCGTCTCCCGGCACAATGAGGTCGTCAATTGATGGAAGCTCCATGAGGCTGGCCGAGAGATTGGTCTCGATGATGAAAGCTTCTCCATCGCCATATCCGCTGGAACCAGGGCAGCTGTTCACGGCAGTTTCTGCGGCCCAGTCAGAAGCAAAGACGACATACTCTCCATCGCGAGAGATTGATGCTCTGGGCTGCACCCAGTAGCCGCACTCACTTGACTGATGCTTTGCGAGATGTATTGTTGTCCCGTTGATGAATTGCAGGTAAACTTCTTTGTGGTAGCTGTCGTCGATCGTCTCTGATGTTGAAACCGCGCAAATGCCCGGCGGCCCTCGACAGCTGATGTGCCAGCCATCTCCCCACGGGATGGTCCGAAGGAATACGAACGGAACGGACTCCTCTGCACTGATCAAGCCTGGCAATGTGTGTATCACAAGACCGGGTAGATTGTTGTCTTCTGGAGACGCGAATGTGGTTGTCATGAAAAACTCCAATCCATCGTCACTGACACCTAGGTCACCATGCTGATGGCCTTCGTAGGCGTGTCCTAGGTATTCTCCACTTGAAATGTTGTAGCTTTCCAGGCCACTGCAGCGCGTGGTCCCGTCCCTCGGCCATTGGACCATCAAATAGTTGCCCAGGGGCGAGACACCAATCCAGTCAGGGTGAATCACTCCATAGATGGGGTCTCGTTGGCACACTCCACTCTGATAGAGATAGCTTTCCACACCAAGTTCCACCGCAAGCGCGTTGTTGACCAGATCCAAGGAAAATATCACGGTGGTACCGTCATTTTGTAGAACGGCCCCTGCAATCCATCTGGCGTCCATTGAAACTTCATCAAAAGAAGGATTGTTGAGCACAGTTTCATACTGTGTTGGGAAGTTGAACCAGGTGGTGATCTCTGTAGTTTCAACATCTGTTAGAAGAACTCGAACAGCTGTATCGGCATTGGAATCATAGTGGATGATGGATGCATTCCGACGAGGATACCAGCGAGGGGCATTCCACTCGTCTCCGAAGAAGACGAGTTCATGGTCTGCGAGACGCCGGACAACGTAGTTGCCATTTTCAATCAACAGGAAAAAGTCATCGTTTGGTGAGAATGCTTGAAGCTGTGAGTAGATATGGGTAGCCCATCCACCTTTTTCTGTGGCATTTGTAGCTCGATACAAGTTTGTACCGTAGTCTGCGTCCGGGAACCGGTGTCTCCACAGAGGGATTTCTTGCCCCAAAACTCTCGGGAAGAAGAAAGCCATCAATGCGGCAAGGGATAACATTGATTTGCACCGCATGTTCTACTTGTGGGGTCGAACTGGACATGATTGTGGTCAACAGGAACAACACTTTTCATCTTCTCATCCCCATAGCATGCTGAGTCTTTGACGTTTTAGCCTCTGGTTTTGTGTCTGGTGTCTGGCAACACAAAGATAAGCCTGCTGAAATGGCAAGACTGAGACAACAAAAAGATCCTTTCGAAGATCCATGTGGCACTTTTAGCATAAAAACTTCAGTCCAAGAGAGTCAGTTGAACATCAGCTCCTTGGCAATACAATATCTATTGCTTATCATTATAAATAGATCTCCAACAGTATGTTTGCATTGTCTTCATCTCTGGGTGAATCCTTTTCCAGTCGCATGGATCAATCCACAAAAGTCCAAAGAGCTAGCAACGAGAAGACCAGCACCACCGAATGTTTCACTGCGGCGTCGTCCTACAGTGATGATGATTCTGCCAGTACTAGTACGACATCCATCTACCATGACACGTTCATGGAAGACTTGACGGAAGAAGATGACGCCCAAAGCTGCGGGGGGACTATCCTTGATTCTTTGTCCTCCAAAGTAGTGCGGCAGAACGTATCGGCCAGTGCGAGGCTAGCAGCAGTGCTTTGTCGGCAGCAGGAACAAACCAATAATAGTGGCAGGGGCAGACCACAACTACATGTATTATCAGGCGCCAAGATTCCCTTGTCAGAATTGGCAACTGTCCCGTCGGATGCGCTTTCGTTCACACCAACCATGGCCGAAGTGGCCATGAGTGGACTCAAAGAGACAAAAAGAACACACTCTACGCGGAAGGAGAAACAGTCCTCTCATTATCATCCGGACGAGAACACTGTGAGTGAATCTGGGACGGCGTTTGGCATTCAGAATGTGCAACCAGAAAGAGTTGCCTGTCCCTTTTGTTACCGCGAAAGGGACCTCGAATGGAAATTGTCCAAGGAAAAGAAGCAAAGTCAAGATTTCGTTGCTTCGGCCAACCAAACCAGAGTTATCTTGGTGGCTACAGTGGTCTGCTTTGCCATGGCCTTCGGGGCCTTTTTCCTTGGCAAGGCTGTGTCAGACAGACAGGCTGAAAAGGCAATGGCGCAGTACGTTACCCAGTGCGAAACAATGGTGGCAGTTCTATCTCAAAAGGCTCAGAAGGAAGAAGATGAGTTGTACTGGAGATTGGTTAGCGCTGCTTTCACTGCCATGGTGAACGCCGCTGCAGGTCCTGTCGCAAACTTTGTCATTGGCGGCGGCAACAATAAGTAGAGCCTGGTGGAGTGATTGATACACTGTATTCCTGTCAGTTTTTGACATTGAACATTCTCGCACGAAAAAGGTTGCTGTGCTTGCATATATAAATCTAAGGTAGACATTTTACTACCCCCATGATCTTTTTCGACACTTGGAAGTTGTTGGAAGAACTTGAGATCTATCAAGAGGCAAACGAATATGAAACTACTTTCCTTTAGCATGGCCGTCTGAGGACAACTTTTGAACACGGTTGAGCCTTGCTCCTGTACTTCGGGAGAAAAGATTTGTGCTTTTCTCCCGCTTCGAACAACCTGGTATTTTCCAGCAGTTTGAACTCTCCTTTTTGCCCGCCGCAGCCAGGATGTATTTGTTGTCACGATACGTTACACGCCCAGACAAAACAATAATTGCTTGTTCCGTTGAACTGGGGCAGGGCTGGCCATAGAGTCGCTATAGTTAGTTAGTGGATTGGACTTTTACTGCATGTTCCATGGATGTACCTTTGCACTTGGAACCTTTTAAGTCAAATCTTGTAGCAGTAGTGCATGGAGTGGCTTGAGATGGCACTTTACTGTTTGCAGATTGTTGTTGTCTGTCAATTGTTCTTTTTGCGTGTCATTGTAGAGTTAGTTGTTGGAAGGCCTGACAGCAATATTGCGTCCTTTAATCTCGGTTCCATCCAATTCGGCCATGGCTGCTTCTCCTTGTTCTGCTGTTCGCATGGTAACAAATCCAAATCCTCGATTTCTCCCAATGTCATCCCTGACTAGAGAAACATCTCCCACCGAACCAATCTTGCTAAATGCCTCATAAATGTCTTGCTCCACACACTCAAAGGCAATATTCCCAACATAGAGTTTGAAGTCTCCGTAAAAGTTTGGAGCCTTGTTTTCTTTGATGTTGAGCATGACGCGGTCAATCTCGTATTGTGGCCGTTCCACCATCTCAAAACCCTCTTTCATGGTCATGATTCGATCACGGCTTTGAAACCAGCTATGGCCACAGATGGAACATTCCAAACGGCTGTGTTTCCATAGAAAACATACATGTAAAATGGTGAGTTAGATGGAACCGGTACAGCAAGTCTTAGTACAGGCAGTCTTTGCCCACAATTGATGGACGTACCGTCCCTTGCCTCTAGGGCCCAGATCGTCGTCTTTCAACGCGTAATGTGTTTGGCAACGACCGCAACGAACATATGTGGCTGGCATTGCCAAGTCCTTCCCGTACTGGGATTGTTGGTTGGCCGGCGCATCTGAATACAACTCGGTGCTCCTGGTAGTGTGGGTTATGGTTTTTGTTGATGAGGTAGCAGGGACGACAAAAGAATCAACTCCTGACAGACAACAAGCAGCTGCGAGTAACAGCAGTGCGCAAACTTGTTGAGCTTGATACTTCATTGCTGTATGCTTGTATGGAGAGAGTGATGTAAATGGTGGGTATTGAATTGTTCTTGGCAATCATCTAGCCAGCTATGCATTTGTCTTCACATACATCAAAGCCAACAGCAAACCTCTTGATGGGTGGAAGTGGTTTTCCTCGTTGCGTTGTGGGTCACCACGTACGCACTTTGAGTTTAATAAGCCATGTAAGCTGCATCATACCTTTTCTTTGAAGCTTGGTTCTGGTCGTTTCCTACTACTAGCTAGCTAGCTGGTAGCTATAAAGAGGAATTTCCAGTATGATAACCTTGCTTTCGCCAATGGGGAGGTGAAGGCCCTCATGGCCTCCATTGAGGCAAAAGGGGGACCAAGGTGGTTAAAATCCTTCTAGGTGATGCATGGATGAGTTTGGCGGTTATTCCCTTAATTAATTACCAAGTTGATAGTACGACTAGTACGCTTCGCTATGAGCGGCTATCATCTTTTGCCTGCCGCAGGCCATCAATAACAATAATATTTCAAGTTGTCTGCTAGGGAGTGTTTGGGATTACGTCTAACTAGTTGAAGTGTTAACCGGTATCGGTCTTGGCAACTAAGACTGCATTGTTAATTATTGTATTCACTAGCGGAATTACTTTCTGATGCAGGTAAACTTCAAATGTTTCCTGGTGAGATCTCTCCACGACCTCCTCCACGACTTTCTGGGATGTCACATTTTTTCTTCAAGATGAGGGTGAGGGCTATACGCATCAAGGCCAAGATTTCTCCGACAGCCGCTAGGATTCGTTATGCTACTGCGGGAGAGATCGACGATGAGCTATTCCAGATGCCGTCTTCTGAGAGGGGACCATAGTTTTGGAGGTCAGTGGCGGGCTAATGTCGATGCTGAGTGTTGGGTCTTCACTAGATCGGTCGGTTCTGCTTTGGGCGTGACAGTTCATTACTTTATGTTGAAGGTTCGATAGCACGGAGGAGGGGATGTTCCCGATGAATGTTTCCAATGGGGAGGAGATCTGGTTCGGGAGGTCTGGTTCGGGAGGTTATCAATCGTATCACGGAGGGCGGTGTATCCCAGAAGCAGATGGACACATTGCGTGCTGCCTTGGCATTTTAGATGTAAATTGTTTTAGAATTCTGCAGGCTTATTTTACAAGTTTTATTATTAGGTTGCTGACTCAATACGGAGTCTTTCTAATGAATCTATCAAGAATGTTTATTACTCTATGTTGAAGGTTCGAGGGCATGGATCTCTACGGGAGACCGAGACGGGTCGTTTTCTTTCTCATTTTTTAAACTTTGCCATGCTGACCAATAGCAAACCTGTTCGCCTGCTTGTTGATACTATAGATAAAGTCTGTTGCATCTGTTTGAAAGGATTCGACGATGGCGCTCTTGTTGTTGTCACAGATTGCGGGTATGTCTATTGCACGGCATGACACTGAGGAGTTTATCTCAGTCTCTCACCCGTTTAATTGTGAAGGATTTACTTAAGCCTTTTCTACTAAACCTACACAGAGTTGCGTCACTAAGACCAACACAGGGAGTAAGATTTCATGTGCGCAAGCCACAATTCTACTATTTTACTATATGTTTGTACCATGGATTGAAAATATTTAAAATTATTCCTTCCTTTTTATTACCCCTTCAGGGAGTCTAACATGTGTTAGAGATTATTGAAAAGTACTCTATTACTATAAGATATCTTCAATGCAAGATTCGAAATTCAGGCATATATCTTCGAGGGCGCTCTGACTAACGCCTATGCAGGAAAAACAATGTCACTTTCTTACTAGGGAAACAATAGACACAAGCTATGAAATTTGGATCCTGCATAGCATTGTTCGCTATACAAAGAACTGTACGAATCTACCTAAAAGATTAATCACGAGTTGCTACTGTTTTACTATCCGTAGTCGCTCTATGCAGAATTCATGTTGTGTTTGGCGATTACACGGAACACGAAAGAACACTCGATGTATGTTTCAACCGCCACGTTTACATATGCCTATGCAGGAAATGATTTCACCAGTTACTTAAAGATATAAGGACGCTAGTTCGAATCCTGCAAAGAAGCGCTTTTGCACTCCTAGATACTTTGACTATATGTTTAGCTGTATGAATCTATATACAGGTGAACTCACGAATTCTTATAAGGTGTCATCCTAGATATAAAATCTTGAGTTCGAATCCCGCATAGGTTCAATTACTATATAAAGTACTGTACCGATTTACCAAACCACGATTTGGCCAATGCTGCATAGGCCTGCGAAAAGGAATTCCGTACCGTGCATGCAAAACACTGTGCGAATCTATAGTAAAATAGTAGGATTGTGCTTTGTCAACACGACATGGTGCTCTATCTCGCTGTCTAGCTAGCTACTTTATTACGTTTTTTATGCAGGATTCCATTGCTTTCTCTTTCTTTATCTGTAACCCTTTTCTTCCAATAAAATAAATTTATTACAAAATTCCATGCTCCTCAGTGGCTCCCCTAGCGTTGTAATAACGCTAAATTTCATGCGTTCCAATCTAACCCTGAACCTGATGTCTCTACGTGTAAATAGGATGTCTAGATGTACACTTTCTGCAAGGCCATGAATTATGATTGCCAATGGTTCTGGTATACAGGCATCCTGTTTTGTCTACTTTTAGCATGTTGTTGAAGTCCATTTTGCCTGTATGGCAATATCAATAGAATTCAGGGAGGTGTTCAACTTTCATTGGTGCTTAATTGTGGGTGGCGACATTCTTAGGGTTTTTGAGTTTTTCGCAGGTCCATTCCATCATTTTACAGTGCAATTGTATTGAATCTTCTTGTGCTTTCATGTAGGGAAGCAAGACCTTAGAATAAAGGGCGAACAGTTTAGAGTAGGTTGTTTTCAATCGGTTTATCGGGTGTTTTTCGGCTTCCTCTTTGAATGAGGCTATATCATTTCGGAAGTTGCCAAAATGTGCTGAGCTTGCATCTCTGAACTCTGAGACAAAGGCAGGGCTCCATCAAAATCTTGATTAGTGTGTCCGATACTTCTGTGAGCGTACATACATTGAATATGGCTGGTTCGATGGTTTTCTTCATCATGCTGACACGGACGCGGCGGGTAGTTTTGATGAATCCAAAGATGTAGCGGTTACCAGTGTCATCGTTGCAGATTGCAAACATGATGTAGAGAGCACAGGATATGCTTGAGAGGCAGTCAATGGTTGACCCGTTGACGAAGGTAGATGATAACAAGAAACTCCATTGTGAAGCTTTGGTATCATTCACTACAAGTTTGGCAGGTGGGTCAGTTGGTTTGGTCATTTCAGATTATGATTGATCGAAAGGTCTGTTGGTCTGTATTTGGGCACTTCTAAAAAGTTGATGCCATTGAAAGTAGGCGTTCTAAAAAGTTGATGCCATTGAATAAAAGTTGATGCCATTGAAATTAGGCGTGGAGTTGAAGGTCACGTAACACATGATACGATAGAAATTAGGTGCGAAAAAGAGACTCGTAAGGATTGGAGTCGCTCAATCGACACGAGGCTAAGGAAGTTGCCTTAAATCTTTATTGGGTCGGTTGAAGTTAGTCGAAGTGACCAAGAATAAAAAAGAGTACTGTTTTACTATAGGAAATTGGGTCAAAAAGGGGACCGAGGTGAGGTAATAATGGTTTATCTCACCTCTGGTCCCCCTTTTTATCGCACATTTGATTCTTAGCAATATCAGAGAAGGATACGATTAAGAGGTGCGACAATACCATTGTGCATTGACTAGTCTAAGGATCTAAGAGATGTAAAGTTTGTATTTCCAAATAAGTGTGAGCAGTTATTGATTATTTTCTAGAATAAGCCTGCTAATTGTAAAGCTGTAAGCTGAATTGTAAGCTGTATCCCGTCGCACTCCTTACAGCTGAAATGAAGCTGTAGCAAGAACACATAGGAGAGAGTCCCAGAAAGTGCTGAGGTAAATTACCATCCCATGAGGAGCTTCCGAATGACAGCAAACTGTGGAGCCGGAAGACCCTTAGTGAAAATGTCGGCCCGTTGTTCCAGAGTCGGAATATACTTAGCACGATGCCCTTCGACTCCCGATATTGGACCTGAAGAAGTGATACTTCAATGCCAAATACTTGTTGCGCGCAGACATTTTGGAACATTCACAAGAGACAGGCAACCTTGGTTGTCCTCGAACACTGTAAGCGCACGAACTGTCAGTAATTACCGGCATATTCAGTTTGCTACCATTTTCTTTGAGCAAAGCTCGCATGGAAGCAGCTCCCTCATTGACATGCTGAAGGCAACAAACTCAGCAGCAGTGGAGCTCAAAGTAATATCAGTCCTCAGTCTGTAGCTTGCTGGACAGATATATAGGGCACCCAAACAGAGTCAGGACAAATCCAGTGCGAGACTTGACGGACACAGGATCCTGTTCATCCTCATATCCATACAATCCGGCGAAGTCAGCATGACCCAACATCAAGTCCCTGATCAAGTTTAGGGCTAAAACAAATGCCTTGTTCACTTGTGCCAATCAAATACCGAATGATACGTTTGATTGCTTGAGCATGGGAATGCCTGGGATTTTGACTGAATCGTCCACC